AACATACATGTAAGAACATGCATATGTATCAGAAAATGTTATAAAAAATTAAGAATTCTCTACTTGACATTTTTGGCAGAATTTGGTTGTTGCTATAGAAAAGCAATCAATAACAAGAAGTAGCACCAGAGAATCAGTAAGTACATGTACATGTACATGTAAATGTGTATGTAATGCATTAAGTATAATGTGCATTTGTGTGTAATGTCTGCTCACTTCAATTAGTCTAGCTCATCCATCAGTCATAGGAAGAGGACAAGAGTAGAGACCAGATGAAGGAGAGAACAAGAATAACTGCCTCAACTGGTGGAGTCACCTACAAATTAACATTAATAACAGTGCCTCAGTACTTCAATCATAATACTGTATGGCTGGTAATTGTAGAGGGGTGCTAAGTTATTAGTGATTGGTGGGTTTTAATTTGAGCATACCACCATACACATAATGATTCAAAATGGCTGGCTTTATTTGGCCAATAGCTTTCACAACCTGAACTTGAAAAAGATTACTAGCTATTTAGTATGCCATTATCAACCTCCATTCTGAGTGCTTTCTATCATACCCAATGGCAACAAGACCTTCTATTGGGTCCCCTTGCCAGCAACCCTTCAACAATGGTACATCCTCCTTACACATTCATGTATATATCCCTTGGCACGGTAAAATCATTAAATTAAATTACAGTTACCTCGTTTGGTAGTTTACAGGAGAGGTCACTGCGGAGTCACTGAGTCCTCCATGAAAGGATTGCAGAGGTTTGGTTGAGCCTGGCTAAAGCTTCCATGTCTGGCTGGATAAAACGTATCACTCTTGGAGCTACTATTCCTTACGACAGGAGGAAGAAAGGAGCAGAAAAGAGTAGGAAAAAACCGAGGAAAAAACCTAGTCTCGTCCTCCAAAAAGCTGAAGTTAAATTGAGTAAACAAAGAGTTAATTTTATGATGTTATGTAGGCGTGGTGTAAAGTGCAGTAATTAAAAATGGCGGATTTTCTGTCCAGCCAATACTGGGTCATTGCTCATGTACCAGGTATCCAAATGACGTAATGCTAACCATCATCATAATGGGTGGGTCTACCGGTCTAGCCAGTAGGACAATTATCATTATGAGAGAGCAGGACAATAGACATGCCGTTAAAGACAGGAATGGATCCAATTATTTGCGTGGGCGCAATCTGCGCATGCGCAGTACTGACTAAATTGTACTTCAATTTATAATGTTCATAACTCAAACAAAAATGTAAAAAACAGTTCAAACATGAATAAATGCTTGTTTAGCCACACATTTGATTTCAGGTTACTCTGTTGAGTCTACAAGGAATAAGCAATATTAATAATAAATGTAAAAAGTACATGTACTTTGCATTAATGTTTACAAAGAACTTTGTAGCCTATTTTCATCTCTAAAAATAATTTGACAGGAATTTCATTCTACAGATAACAAAAACAAATTTTATACAGCAATAATAGTTTTTACTGACCTGGAAATATACTGGTGTCACATTAAGTAGTGCCAAGGGAAATAAAGAGTTGATAATATATCTAGTCTTGGGGAAATGTTATCTGTTTAACAGAGATAAGAAGTTAAAAATAAACCTTTCATTGCAAATGCCATACACATGGAGCTAGATATTTCTGTGGCCCAAAATTTCTGCTAATTATGCAGATTTCAAAAACTGCGAAAATTTAATCCTTTAAAATCAGTACACATTGAAAGGCATGGTGATTTTGCTAAAATAAAATCTGCAAAATTCACAGAAATTTTGGGCGACAGTAATTTCTAGCTACAATTAAAGAAATTTCTAGGTACAATTCTAAACATTAGTAGCATAATAAAATAAATCATTTCATGAATAATTATTCTATTAAGTACCAACATCTCCAAATATAGCATCCAGAGTTTCGTCCACCACCATGAATAATACTGATAGCTTTTCGTGACATTCTAATTATCATAAAAATAGCATACATGTAAGTTCAAAACTACAAAACTAACAGCTTTAATAGTCAGAAGTACTATAAAAGTGGAATATGTCATTGCTTGCATTATTTAATGCATGAATAAAAAATTTACGAATTTAAAAACTATACTGACTTAAAAACTAATTATAGACCACTGGAGGTGAGAATTGGAAATGAATTTCATTAATTTTATATACGGTATCTGCCCACATGTCATAATTGGCTGTCATTTTCGTTGGAAAGTTTAAGGAAGTCGGCAATGAACGCAAGAAGAAAATGCCTCACTTACCTGCTGTAGCTCTATTAAAAGCTAAAATGTGCTTGTTATAAGAAAAAAGATCTGCCTTTAAGCTTCTTCTCCAAAAGATGTGGTCTAATTTGTCCCAGAATTCTCAATACAGGTTTGTTTTCATGCCAGCCCGTT